TAGTCTACCAATAGAAACTGTATTAAGCAGCAGTGAATCATAGACAGCTTCTCCACTGTCCAACCAACTAAGATACTTTTTACCAGTAGTCTACCAATAGAAACTGTATTAACCAGCAGTGAATTCATAGACAGCTTCTCCACTGTCCAACCAACTGAGATACTTTCTACCAGTAGTCTACCAATAGAAACTGTATTAACCAGCAGTGAATTGACAGACAGCTCCTCCACTGTTCAACCAACTGAGATACTTTCTACCAGTAGTCTACCAATAGAAACTGTATTAACCAGCAGTGAATTGACAGACAGCTCCTCCACTGTCCAACCAACTGAGATACTCTCTACCAGTAGTCTACCAATAGAAACTGTATTAACCAGCAGTGAATTCATAGACAGCTTCTCCACTGTCCAACCAACTGAGATACTTTTTACCATTAGTCTACCAATAGAAACTGTATTAACCAGCAGTGAATTCATAGACAGCTTTTCCACTGTTCAACCAACTGAGACACTTTCTACTAGCAGTCTACTAACAGAGACTGTATTAACCAGCAGTGAATCTACAGAGACTAGCTCAGTTCTTTTAACCAGTACTGTGTTATTTAGCACTTCATTTGCCTATCCAACTGAGTTTAGTTCAGTTTCCCTGAGTACTCCCTCTTCTAGTGTTATTCCTCTTGAGACAAATTTATTACCAGAGCCTTGTGGTTCAGGAGGAGGATGGACAAGACTAGCATATCTGGATACGTCTAATGCTACACAGAACTGTCCTTCTGGGTTTAGACTGTACCAGTCAGAAGCAGTTAGAGCTTGTGGTAGAAATAGCAGCAGTGCTGGGTGTGTATCAGTTCAGTTCCCATCTAATGGTATCAGTTATTCTCAGATATGTGGTAGAGTAACAGGATATCAGTATGGAACACCTAATGGTATTGATGGAGTAAATAATATCAATTCTTATTATGTTAATGGTGTTAGTATCACTCGTGGGTCTCCTCGTCAACATGTCTGGACACTAGCAAATGGTTTAATGACCACTTATAACAATAATCCACAATACTTGTGTCCATGTTCAACAGGAAGCAATGAAACATTCCCATCTTTTGTAGGAAACCATTATTTTTGTGAGTCTGGTTATAATTCATCTGGTTATTCTCAAATTCTCTACACATCTGATCCACTCTGGGATGGTCAAGGTTGTGGTTCTCTTGAATCACCTTGTTGTAATGTTACTGGTATCCCATGGTTTCACAGAGACTATGGTAGCAATACCACTACTGACTATATTGAGTTGAGGGTCTGTGGAGGTGGTCATGCTATGCATGATGAAGACACTCCTGTTAGCTTTTATGAGATCTATGTTAAGTAGTTAAGCCTGCTTGTGTGTAGTAGAGCCCATTAGTTGCTAGCTTAGAACAATATGCTAATATGCTGTTACCTTTACATGTTGTATTTGTGCTATGTTTTGGCTACTTTTATTGTTGTAAGTATTGTTTTTGGATATTAGAACTAATGTTATATGATATAATGAATCTATATATTGGCTATAAAGCAATATAGTAGGTAACAACAGCAGTACAGCAACTCAGTAAACATTTGTGCATTACAACTTATATGTAACGGCATGATTCCAGAACATCCTGATTAGCCATTACCACCTATTTCATTATTGTTTAATTGTATAATGTGTGTCAACTCTATTACATGTCAAGTGGCTGTATTTTTCAAATTCCATGGAGCTGTTTCCACTTCTGGTTAGTGCTAGGCAAATTATGTTAGCATAATTTGGAGGATAATAGAGCAAGTTATTATACTGGCATATACATGTAATTAGAGCATAATGGGTCAAAAATTTCTGGCCCTATGCCCCTGACCACATAACTTCAATTCAATATGGCAATAGTACAAGTACTAGTACAACAAGCCAACTGCTAGTACCCACCTATGCAAGTGTGGTGAGTCCAATGACTTAAACTATCCTATTTTCCAGTGACTGAAAGTCACTAGAAACATTTTTAGATTCTGGCATTATTACAAAATACAATTATAACAAATGCAGTACACATATGTGTAACTTGACAGTTGATATATGAGCATATAATGAGCGTAATTGGATTCATTTCAAAGCATAATTGGATGGAATTTGGGCTGCACCTAAAAGCATATTAGGCCAAAAACTGAAGCCATAATTTACATAGCCCTACTTCTGGCCCAAACTCAGTTGGGATACGGTATAGTTGATATCTTCTTTCTTTAAAATGTTAAGACCAGTTCTCTTGTGTATTGTCCTACTCCACTGCTTTAACATATCTTCAGGTAATCATTAGTACAATATCTTCATTATAATGACCTGTACTGTATATTATATTAGCTAATGATGACGAATCATCCTCTTGTCAGGCAGCAGCTACTTTATCTTGTGAGGATATTAAGAATTATTGGCCAGAGAGTTCATCAGGATATTATAATATAATAGGCAAAGGAGATGGATGGAAATACATGTATTGTGATGTGGAGGAGCTGGAACTAGCTCAAGCTTGTGGTTCAGGAGTAGGATGGACAAGACTAGCATATCTGGATATGTCTAGTGCTACACAGAACTGTCCT